CCATAGATTTAACAAATCATTTCGAATCATGTATATAAAAGAATGGACTATATCATTCAAAAGGGCCAATGGCCCTAAACAAATCTCTCATCTTCTGTGCATAAACATAGTGCATGATTTGGTGAAGACAATGGGTGGTTCTTTTAGCAGACCAGTTGGTTGGATGAAGGGGCCATTTCCAAAATTGTGTCTCTTCTTTACAAGAACAAAACATGTTCCAATACGTTTTCCTGAGCTGAAAATGGTTCCTAGTTTCTTCGGCAAGCAAAATTGGAATCATATCTTCAACTTTCTTCTTTGCTCTGTTCCATGCAATATAATTCAACACACATTCTTTCTTTCTTTTTCCTCTGTCTTTGCCTTCTCCTTTAACTTTTCAAATGTTTGTTAATCTCTATTAGGTTGAGTCACAATCAATGTTTAAAATCTTAACTTCAAATCATATAAATTAGAAAAATACAAGTGTTGAGAAAACTTACTTCTAAAATAATTATATTTTAATTTTAATTAAGACCGTTATGATTAACAAACACGAGAAATTCTTCTATCAAAATAAAATTGAAATATTTATATAAATATTTTTTATGTTGACCCAAAGAAAATCCAAGTCAGTTTGTACTTGGAACTAATTCCTATCAAGTTATGAAGAATTTAAGGTAAAACTCTCTTAAATATATAAAAGCGTTTTTCATGTTTGAACTTGTATCTTATCATTCTTTTGTAAACAACTTGAACCAATAATTTTATCGATAATAAAGTGTTTTAACAGATCTGAGATTAATTTAATTGATTTATATAAAAAAAAATTAAAATTAAAATTAGAATTAGAATCTAAAGAGTTGCCCATTGAATTCTAGCCGTTCATAAAAAGAATTAATAAAATAATTAAATGCATTAGGAATAAAAAATATAATTTTATTAAATTAAAACTAAATTTTAATTAACGGTCAATTTTAAATAAATCCTTATATATTTTTTTTAATATTTACATAATAAGAAGAAATTTGTTTGTGGTACGTTTCGGTATGCCGTTTTAGTGGTACATTGTGGTATGCGACGTGCACTGTAGAATTATTTCTACGTAACTTAGGTTTAAAGGTGTGTGAATTTATCTAAAAAGATACCAGAAAAATTAAAATTTTAAAATAAGTCCCAACAATTTTTGATCATTTAGAGTCCTCCCATTTGATCGTCGGCAGTCTCACTTAATAATTGAAGCTTAAAGAAGAGTGCCCAACCTATCAACTAACCTAACCTAACCGCCATCAAAAGAGAAAATGGCCAAAAGGTTCATGTTATCATAGTTTTTCATGAGCCACGTTAACCATTTATTGAAAGGAAAAACAATGCTTGGACTGTATTTAACAACACAAAATCCATAAAAAGAAGTGAGAGTCACCTTACTCATCAAATCTAACTTCAATAAAGGCTTAATTTTGATTCTTGTCTTTTTTTTTTTTGAAATTAATTTTGCCTATCGTTTACGGGTTATTAATGAAGCTTGATTCATTGAGATACATTATTTGGCAAAACACCCATCATTTTTAGAAAGAGTGAAATTGATTCTAAGCAAGAACTTACATTATTTGTACGGAGGTAATATTAATATACTACTCCTACTATATATTGTCAATGATACAGCATAATAAGGCATTATCACCACAGTATTTGATTTCTTGTTTTGCATCACCATTCTAATAACAACCATGATTGGGAGTGTCCCATTATCACACTTCATTATTAATGTAAATCTCTATTTTAAAATGAACCCATAAGACTTAATTGTGACAACACAAGCCGTGAAAAGCAATACCAACGTTGCGGCCTTCTGTATTGAAGAGCCCATGGTCCAATCCCACCTTTGGATTTGGATCACAGTATGATGAGTTGTGTGCCTCCTTACCAATTCAATCTGCCCTTTTTCCTCTCACAAAAATTTATTTGAGCTCTGTAGATTCCTTGTCAATTATCATAGATAGATGGGAAGGTATCAGCTGTTTAGAGATCTACACCCTCTCACACCAAAACAACAGCAGTACCACCCAGATTAAATCTCAGTCAGTAATCATAACCCTTTCAAATTAGCTCAGAAAACAGGTTGAAACATTGAGTGAAATGTCATAATTGCAAAGCATATAGCATTTATACATCTGCAGACTGCAGTGTGTGAGATGCAAATCAAAATCAAAATACTTACGTCTGAATTGTAATGGGCATATTTCATAGGTTGCTTGCAGTCTTTGAATTCTTCCATTTTGGATTTAATCACTTTCTTATCCAATCAAGTGAAGGAAATTCAACTCTCTTTCATTTGTATGTATTTTAATGGCAATTGGTGGTTTCAGATATTGTAATGTGGCACAAAAACCTGTCTTGCTCCGAATCTAATGGTTAAAACATGGGCCTCTTGTGAACCCAATCTAAAACCTCACTTTTCCAAGTTACAAGTTCTATAGAACCAGACAGTTACTGTGGGTTAAAAGTTTGGGATTAATTTAGGCTAACATCGTAATTTGGGGCGAAATTAGAATATTTAAAATTTTAAAAATTAATTTTAATACGAGTCATAATTTAAGGACGTGTGACATGATTTAATATTTTAAATATTTGTGGTGATAAGTTTGTGATTGAGTGGTGTCAAAGTTGAGCACCTGATGAGTTATGACTTTTTGGGAAATGATGACGTGCGACAGCCTTAATATACAGTTAAAAATGATGAGTTATGACTTTTTGGGAAATGATGACGTGCGACAGCCTTAATATACGGTTAAAAAAAGATGTTACCGGTTTTGTTATTATTTAAATAACAAAACCGGTAAAAAATTACCGAAAATATTATTATTTCTACTTGTTTTGTTATTTTTTCTAACGATTTTGTTATTGTTGGACACTTTACCAGAAATGTAAAAAAACATTGATGTTTTAGGTAGAAATAATAATGTTTTAGATAATTTTTTACCGATTTTATTATTTAAATATTAACAAAACCGATATCGTCTTTTTTAGTTGTATATTAAAAGTGTCGCACTGTAAAATTTCTCTTATTTTCTAAAACTTGAACCCTGCGAGTATAATTAGCGAGATGAGAAGTTAATCCATTATTAATTAGGATAGTAAAGTTATGGTACGGGTAATTGGAACTAATTAAATCGAATGTTAATATATGTTAAGTTTGATCATCTAACACCGATAGTTTTTATGGGAAAAAGTGATAATTACTAAATCGAATGTTAATATATGTTAAGTTTGATCATCTAACACCGATAGTTTTTATGGGAAAAAGTGATAATTACATATAAAGCAATTCATTAATTAAACTATTAGTTTTAAAATATGACATAAATTACGTGATCAATTATGTTATAAAGTCATAAGGTATTAAAAGTATCGTGAAAATAAAAGTGTAGATAATATTCAAGGGAATTTTATCTTCTTGAAAGATCACAACCAAAGAAATATTCACAGATTTCAACCTATTAATTAATCCAAGTACGCTTCCGCATCTAATATATGTTTTATACTTGATGATTTAACATGATTATATCATAGTTTGTTGTTCATAATTAATATGATTTAGTTCTAACAAATAGTATCAGAGCCTGTAATGTTAAATCATTGAGAATCAAAATTTTCTTTTATTATTATTTTTATTTGATTTATTCCTAAAGTTTAAAGGGTCCGATATTTGAACTAAGGTATATTGATTTAAGGTTTTATGAAATTGATTGTAATCAAATATGATGTTTAAATTTAGGGATAAACCCTTAATTTTTTGCTTTAAACCCAAGTCGAATACATCGCTTTATGCTTTGATTTTTTTGAATTAATCACTGGTATCCGATCTATTGACCGACTAATCCAGATCGGGTATTGAAGATGCAAGGGTGACCCTCCCAACCCAGTTTGTTCCATTCGCAAACGTCAGAATTCAAACCCCTGACCTTGCTTAATTGATCTAGTGTCTCATCCTACCAGATTAACTTATTGTTGGTATGGTTTGATTTTTGTCGTGCATATATTTTGTTGTTTGACAGTTCCGATAATCCATAATCTCAAGTTTTTTCAATTGTTAAACGATAAATTTTAATTTGAGAGATTTCCGTTTACATGAAATTAAAGGTGGAATTATTTCTTTTGATCTTTGCCTCTAATTGCGTGTGGTTTTTTAGGAAGTCTTGTTTTTATTCATAGGTTGAATGATTTTAAAATCAATTACGTGCATCAAGCATAATTCGGTTGTACAATACTATAATTTTACACTATAAACATTAATGCTTCTATATTCAATCTATCGATACTTTTTTCCAATTAGTGGATTATGCGAAGTAAAGTTACTTCTTTTATAGCATATTTAAGGATTATTATATTATACAAGGGATCATAAGTTATCGATATTTGATTTTGACTTTGAAAAATATATAGTAATATATATTTGATTTTAGTTTCTGTTTCTTGTATCATGTTTTGATCTAATTTGATGAATTCATGATTAAGAAATTCTTGAGGAAAAGTTAAAGATTTAAGATTTCGGTTTCTAATAATGTTGTTTAGACAACCTTATTATAGGTTATTTTGGAAATCATGACGTGATTAGATAATTTAGTTTTGATTTTTGATTGTTATATATGAATTGTAGAATATATGTTTGGCATTGATATATTCGAGTTAGTTTAATTAAAAAAATATTTTTTTAATCTTTGATTAAAGATTTAATTCACTAGTCTGTACTTTGACCTTGGCTTTAGGTTAAATATTTATTTGAATTCGGTTTATTTTTTGGTGAGTTATGAAGTTATGGATTAAAGGCATGCTTATGGAAATTTTCAAAAACAATCAAAGACTTAAGTTTTCGATTTCTAATAACATTTTTTATGTAACATTATCCTAGGTTATTTCGGATATTGTAGTACAATCAGAAATTTTAATTTTGACTTTGGATTGTTATAGAAACATTAAATTTGAATACTAATATTTATTTTGAAAATGCTTAATTAAAGCTTGAATTGAAGTTGTATGGGTTCATCTCAACATACAAATGATGACAATTAAAGATGGACTAATTAAAATCAGCTGCTTTGTATTTTCAGAATGTTGTCAACGTGAGCTTTGCCCTCCATTTTCCTTCCCAATGTGTACCTAACGTAATCAAGGTACTTGATGCTTCTATACATTCGAGGCCGATGATCGCCCACCATACACTCCATAGGACCGATCTCCAGTTCATCGTATGGAATCTTAATGGTTGCAAGTGAAACTCTTACTTTCGTCTCATTAGTGATTGCCCTGTGCTCAACGCTTTTGTACACCCCATTGCTAAGAATCTGCAGATACAAAACAAAGGAATGCCTTTAAATAACGGCACAGTAAAGTCAGGCCTAAGACTTCAAAAGACTGGAACTGTGGGTCCATGAGTACCTCCACAACATCGCCAACGTTCACAACGATAGCGTTACGAATCGGCTTAACTAGAATCCATTCGTGTTTGTGCCGGATTTGTAGGCCGGGAATCTCATCATCTTGCAAGAGTAATGTTATGATATCTGGATCAGAGTGAGGGTTAATACCAAGGACAAGATCAGGCCTTGAACAAGGTGGATAATAGTTCATTCGCATGGCTTGTTTCGTCTTGCCGTAGAACCTTTTCAGACCGTCTCTATCAATGCCCATAAGTAGTGATATGTTGTCACATATCTCGTCAGCTACCTTTTGAGCTCCTTCGGAGTACCTCTCCACAGCATCCCTGCATGCGTAAATGAACACAATTCAGATCCAGACCCTAAGGCGAGGCAAGTCTATATATGCAGAAAAGAAAGAAGGCATACTTGAAACCTGGTATGGTGTGTGGCCAGTACTTTAGGTTCCTAATCTGAGGCGGGAGTGTAATCAAGAACATCATGTCACACCAATCGAGTTTCTGCTCCTCCGACACGACATACTGTTGCCCGTATCCCTGGAAATCGGTTCCGGCCTGCGCGTACTGGTTCTTTTCTTCCAGTGGAAGTTCAAAGAAAGCAGCAATAGCTGCCTTCATGTTAATCAACAACTCCTCTGCCACCCCATGGTTTATTATCTGTCAAGATTGCAAAAATTTTCGTTACAGAAACACGAGTATACAAAATTGACAAAGTGATTTACCTGAAAAAATCCCCAGTGTTTGCAAGCAAGGTCTAGCTTCCTTGTTTCATCTTCATCTCCTTTAGCTAACAAGGCAAAATCTATAATCGGAATATCAAATGAAGATGGGGCCATATCAAGAACCGTTGGCCTATCTTCGTGGTGTAGTACGTACTTTTCAGGAACCGATTGGGGATCATTTCTTACCAGCTCTTGGACGCTTGGAACCGGAAGAGATTTACCCCAGTCACTTCCTTTATCTTCCTCACCACCTATGTTTTCCATTTGATCTTTTACTCGCATCTGCTTTCCCCTTGTACAGTCATATATTACTTCAGATGTTGACATTTTGCAGACTTTAGCAATTTATTAATCTTAATATTGAAATATAAAACTCCAATTGGCAAGCCAAGTTGCTATTTAGTAACATGTTGGACTTTCCCAAAGTCGTAACTTGAAAGGCACTTTTAAATATTAGACATTGGATACAAAACACTATTAAATTTGTTGGGACAATGCACTGGAAAGATTAATTTGTTTATACAAGGGTTGAAAAAATTAACCTTTTAAATAAGATGATTTTTATAGCATTCAATGAAAGATGCATGGAGTACTTATCGTTTTTAAGATCTACAGAAGATATTGCATCTTCCTGCATTAGCTTATGTGTTTTGTATTTTTCGTATTTTCAAACTCCATGCAGAAGATATTGGATCTTTCATGCGTCTTCGTAAGGACGTCAAGTGTTTCATACGTCTTCTGTAGTGCACTATAAAAATCATCTTATTTAAGAAAATAGATTAGAATTATCATTATATTAAGATTTTTTTTCTTTAAATCATTATTGCAGTGATTTTCTCAAAATAATACATTATTTTTTAATTGAATTTAATTTTCAATCTGTTAGAAATATTACATTATTTTTAAGAAAATATATTAAATTATTAAAGTTTATATAATAAGTTTAACTAAATTGAAAAATAGAATATTAAATGTAATTAAAAAATTAAATTGAAATAATAAACAAAATACATTATTTTTTAATTGAATTTAATTTTCAATCTGTTAGAAATATTACATTATTTTTAAGAAAATATATTAAATTATTAAAGTTTATATAATAAGTTTAACTAAATTGAAAAATAGAATATTAAATGTAATTAAAAAAATTAAATTGAAATAATAAAAAATTAAACGTGGAAACTAAATGTATAATTACGTCTAATTATATAATTTTTAACGTTATATAAAAATTTATGAACACAGTTATCCATTTTTACAATATTTTTATATTAATTGTTATTTCTAAAATAAACTTATTAATCCTAATAAAATTAATTAAAACGAAGAAATAAAATTTAAAATTTAAAATATAAAAAATATAAATTATTTCCATTGATAACATCAAAATTGTATATATTCATTAAGAAAAACAATTGCTTAGTTTTAATTGAAAAAATATTTGCACCGCAGCGATTTGGGGGGCAGATCAGTAATTAGAGACAAACTAAACGGGTTATACCGTACCCTAAGGCCTAACCGATCCATCAAGTCGCCTAAATCTCGGTTTATTCTTCTCTTGTCAACTCGCTTAACTCGGTTTTGCAGAAACCAATTCAAAAGAATTACAATCAGATCTTTCCCTTTAATACAGTTTAGAAATTCTAAAATTTTATTTATTTACGTGAACAAACAATTATTTATTTTCAAATGTTAAATATGTATAGTATTTTTTTATATAACCCAACCGGCTTTATCCGAATACCCTAACCGGTCTATCCGGTTTTCTAACCCTCGGTTTTATTATTCCCGTCATCAACTCCCTTGACTCGGTTCTCATTCAATTGGCGCTCTCTCCCAGAAAGCAATTCAAAAGGATTGCAAGTAAGTTGTTTTCCCCCCCCTTTTTTAATTTAATTTTATTATCGGGTAGTTTTATATTAACATGTTCATTCCAATTCCAATTTATTTGAATTTTAGGTTTCCCATTTATGACCTAAGACTTATAATTATGTCAAATTCAACTGTTTTAATTTTTTCCTTTGATGAGTTTAATGTAAAAATGTTTACTGTTTGTAGTTGTTATTACAATTGTGTTGAATGTTTGATCTTGTTTATGTTAAAGGTTGTGATTTGTGGGAAAATGTCATCAAATTTGGAGCCAATACCAATAACATCACAAAAACACGACCCGGCATGGAAACATTGTCAAATGTTTAAGAATGGTGAAAAGGTACAATCGAAGTGTATATATTGCGGCAAAATCTTCAAAGGAGGTGGGATTCATAGGATTAAGGAACATTTGGCTGGTCATAAGGGTAATGCTGCTACTTGTTTGCGAGTCCCGTCCGATGTTCGGGTTTTAATGCAAGAAAATTTAGATGGGGTTGTGGTAAAGAAGAGGAAGAAACAAAAGATCGCGGAGGAGATAACGAATGTTAATCTGATTTCTAGTGAGACAAACGCATTTTCCGATCAGGTTGATGCTAATCCTGGAGTGCTTATGATTGAAAAACCTGAGACAGTTGAGCCTAGTTCAAGTTTGTTAGTTAATCGGGAAGGAACAAGTAATGTTTCCGGGGAGAGGAGAAAGAGGGGAAAAGGTAAAAGTTCGGCTGCCGAAGCTAATGGGTTGAGTTTGGTGCAAGGAGAGTAAACAATAATAGACATATGGCTATAGGCAGATTTTTGTTTGATATTGGAGCAACTCTGGATGCAGTTAATTCAGTTTATTTCCTGCCAATGGTTGATGCAGTTATCTCGGGAGGAAACGGGACAATAATGCCTTCACGTAATGATCTTCAGGGTTGGATTTTGAAGAAATCGATGGAAGAAGTGAAGAGTGATAATGAGAAAGTGATTGCATCATGGGTGAGGACTGGTTGTTCTATTCTGGTCAGCCAATGGAGCACTCAAACAGGTCGAATCTTGCTAAACTTTTTGGTGTATTGTCCTGAAGGAACAGTGTTTTTGAAATCTGTAGATGCTTCTAGCGTAATAAATTCCTCGGATGCTTTGTACGAATTATTTAAGCAAGTTGTGGAAGAAGTTGGATTTAAGCATGTCTTGCAAGTGATCACGAATTGCGAGGAGCAATATATGGTTGCTGGGAGGAGGTTAGCCGAAACTTTCCCTACTCTGTATTGGACCCCTTGTGCAGCTCATTGTGTAGACTTGATACTTGAAGACTTTGCGAAAGTTGAGTGGATCAATACAATAATTGAGCAGGCTAGATCTATTACAAGATTTATCTATAATCATAGTGTGGTCTTGAATATGGTAAGAAGATATACTTTCGGCAATGATATTGTTGAACTGGCAGCCACTATGTCAGCTACAAACTTTACAACATTGACTCGAATGGTTGATCTTAGAAACAACTTGCAGGCCATGGTTACTTCTCAGGAGTGGGTAGACTGCCCCTATTCAAAGAAACCAGGGGGACTGGTGATATTGGATTTAGTGAGTAATCAGTCATTTTGGTCCTCTTGTGTTCTGATTGTCCAGTTAACCAATCCTCTCCTTAGAGTTCTAAGAATGGTTGGCAGCAGTAAGAGGCCTGCAACGGGATATGTTTATGCCGGAATGTATCGGGCCAAAGAAGCAGTTAAGAAAGAATTAGTTAAGAGGGATGACTATATGGTCTATTGGAATATTATTGATCACTGGTGGGAACAACAATGGCACCATCCTCTTCATGCTGCTGGTTTCTACCTTAATCCCAGGTTCTTTTATAGCATGGAAGGAGACATGCCTACTGAGATGTTGTCAGGGATACTCGATTGCATAGAGAAATTGGTTCCCGATGTAACGGTTCAAGATAAAATCAGCAAGGAGATAAACTCATACAAGAATGCTGCAGGAGATTTTCAGAGGAAGATGGCAATTAGAGCTAGAGACACTCTACTCCCTGGTGAGAGTCCATTGTATAGATGCTTTCTAATTTTTGGCTGCTATATTTCAACTTAAATCATTTATCATAATCCATGCTTTTAATTAGTAGATTGTTTTTATTTCCTGCTAAATTGCAAATGAATTTTCGGCATATCCCAGAAATAAAAATTAGCTGACCCTATTCCCATATATAATGGGGTAAGGGAGAGATAGAATAGTAGGCTACTCCCAACGCCAGGTTGAGAGCAGCTTCCGTAGGAGACCTCCAATTATAAATTGGCCACCGCGAGACTCGATCCCACGACCACAAGGATAAGATCCTTGCACTCTACCAACTGAGCGTTTATGACCACTAAGGATCCTTCAAGAGGAAAAACATAACTAATTTTTTCTTTGATCTGTATTGTTCCCATCATGTTGAAGTACCTTTCGAGAGTTTATGTATTTTTTACCATTTCGGTATCCTGTTGTGATATCCTTTTCCTTACTATCTTCGTATTGGCTGATTTTCTCATTGTATTCTGCTTGTAATAGCTGAATGGTGGTCAGCATATGGAGGAAGTTGCCCAAATTTGGCCCGGTTGGCTATCCGTGTCCTTAGTCAAACTTGCAGTACTGATGGGCTTAAGCATAATCGAATCCCTTTTGAAAAATTGCATGAAACAAGGAACTGCTTAGAGCAGCAGCGGCTCAGGGACCTCATCTTTGTTCAATGCAACTTGCAATCAAGACAAATGTACTTGCGATCTCACTCATTTATGGATTTTGCATTTAGCAAGAGAAAACCATGCCTTCGGCTAATTAATTTTCTTTCAGAGGTTATGACGGCAAGCAACAAGATTCTGCGCAGCACATCTTATCCGAGTCTGCCTCCATTGTGGAAGACTGGATTACAGGAATCGGCACATTTTTGGATGACGACACCTATCCAGATTGGACAACACTTGAGACACTTTCTGTAAACACGATGCCTTTAAGACCTCGGAGCGATGAAATCGAAGAGTTGGGTGCAGGTAATATCGTCTCTCGGATACGGTGATCTTGTCAAGTAAGTTTCTTTCTCTTTTTATTTAATTAAATTCTTTTTATTCAGGTTTTGATGATCATGAGATTTTCAACCGAGTGAAAGAGGGTGATGATGAAAATGCTGAAGATAATGCAGTAAGCTATCCGAAAACCATAACTAATCTTGATAATCCTAGATGGTGACCAACGTTTTCTGCACGAATATCAACCAGAATAGTGTAAATTAATGTAATAATCAATGACTAGATTTATAGGAGCTGCTATACCATCCTGTTAAAAAAAAAAAAAACAGTTTAACCACTCGGCTAACGTCTCCGTCGGTTACATTAAACTAAGGCCAAATGAAACAGACTTTGCTTCAATTATACAATAT